AAGCTGCGAAGTAGCTGCAGTAACGCTACAATTCAGCTCCGCTCGATCTGATAGCACAACGTTCTTGAGATAACATGAATCGCCAGAAAAGCCTTGCCACAGATTACGGCTTTTATAATGAGAAAACTTTGACTGTACCTCTAAGAAATGTGAGTAAGCTTGTGCGCAGGGAAGATCACTTATTGAATAAACCTTCAAATTCTTACAATAAATTTCATTCCATGACTGGCGAGTGTGGGAATGTTATCGCTAATTCCCTGGAGACATTCTAGGCTGTAATCTAATTGGTCGGTACTTTTGCATAAGATCCCATTACATCTCTGGACAAACATTTGTGACCGTTGAATGAAAGGCGCAAACATTCATACAAATTTGTAAGTTTTTTGCATCTAGTTCTGTTTCGAGATGGAAGTTCTGTTGATGTTTTTGGATGGAACAGCTCCAAGGTATTTGTAAACAACGGCACTGTACAGTGAATTCTATGCGAAACACCGACGAATCGAACCAGAGCAAGTAACACAGATGCAAGAATCTTCACTGGGGTACGAATACACTTACAAGATTCAAACGTTCAACGATAATGTACGTTCCTTAGTCCATTGTAAAATTTAACGACAACCAAAGGAAGATTGGGTTGATTTCTTTCACGAAAAAAGTGTAGCAGATCGTCGATCATGGACAAAACGTCAAGGTGAGCGATGTCAGGCTTAACATGTTGCAACGAATCAAAATATCATTTGGTGTAAACTTTATGTAAACTTTATGTAGAACAGTCGCTGTTATTCTCTTTATTTTTTAAAAAAAGATAAACTTCAATGTCTGCATGTTAATGGAAGTTCTTACATTTAGATGAGTGACCATGACTGCTGAATAATTATTTACAAAACGAGACTGTTGCAGATTTGTTATGTCATTTGCTTTTGTAACGTGTACACGTGGATACTAATAAAGTATCAGTTGCATTTTGACTTTCTAGTGGTTTTTACTCCTCCTAAGGCCTTGTCAACTCCTCTACCATGTTTCGTGATTATTGTATTATTGAAGTCTGCATTTCTTTTTTTTGTACTAACGAGTGGTAAGCCATTACCGGTAACAACATTCTTTGTCTTTTCGAAGCCACTTTGCAGCGCAGATCGTGATTCGGGAATTTTCTGCACCGCTGCAACAGCGCTGTTTATCGCCGTCAAAAGGCTTTCCACTGCAGCGCGAAACAGCCAAAATTTGCTACTGCTGCAGCCAGCCCTTTTGCAGCTCTTTTGTAGTAGCGCTTCTTGAAGTCATTCTGCAGCGCTACGGCAGCGCTGCTCGTTTCGTGCGGGTAATTCCAAAACCCTTTATTGTGGTTAAAATATTAGATTCCGACAGGGTCCTTCTGGATATCATTAAATTATGCCTTCCATGGTGGAGGGAGTGGAGGATGCGGATAACAAAATAATGGCATGTCCCATAGCTTGGGAAAAAACCCATACAAATTTGGGGACAGAAAAAAGCACGGCATGCATGTTCACCAAGGCTCAGCTTATCGATGTATAGACAAGTGCAAAATAAGAAAATAATTTATAAAGTCATGAAAACAGAACACATTTAAGGATAGGTTTTACGCAAAGTTTTGTTAATCGAAAGACATGAGCTTAACAAATCATTGAGCAAGTAACCACAACTTCGTCAACTGTCTCTCGTTCCTTGAAACGAAAAAGTCTAAATTTAAGGGAATTACAAAGCGCAATGGTACATACATTGTTTTGATAGCTAAGACGTTAACATTGAGAGTGTAAATAAGAGAAATTCAGCTTACCTACTGATGATGCCCAGCTCGGTCATCTCGCTCGTTAACAAACATAGCCCCGCTTCGTTGTTTGACGGACGGATCGATCGCAGTTGGACATTTGGCCAATCAGAAACGAGTTACGCAGGCACATGATCAGAAAAGAGTAACGCAACGCATGCGACAAAAACTGGCGGGAATTTTTTGTTTTGTTGTTAATTTTGTGTTTTTTCAGGAGCCATTGTCCCATTATGGCTCTTGGTTTTTTTTTCCATGGCGATTGGCGAACCCAAACAAAAATAAAGTTCTCCCCCAGGCGGTTTTTTGGTGTTTCTTTCAGAGATGCAGCCGCCGAAAAGCTGAACCACAGTCAAACGAGAAAACGATCGGGGTAGGGTCTCTCGGCCTTCTTTTAAGAAACGGTCCAGCTAAGAACGATAGCAACAACGGCAACGAACATGTTGGAATGCTAAAAAGGTGCTAACTTTTCTATTGTCTGTACTGACTTCTCATTGGCTCAAACAGCAAAAGTTAACAAAACTTCATAAAGCGGTACATATATTCATCCTTACTTTCCAACCATCTTCCGTATAACAAAATCTGGTCTACGTTTGAATAACAAAGAAATCCTATGTGGGAACATGTAAAATTGTAAACTTTTCTTGGCTATTGTTTTCAACTCTTGTGATTGGTCAAAATCTTTTAACACAAAAAAACACCCTTTCAAAGTGGAGTGTAAATGCATTTTATTGCGTAAACGGCCTTCATGTAGGTTTATGCATTCTCTGTGTAAAAATGAGAACATTCCTATGTGGGGAAAGCACCGTTGCCGGATAACAAAAGAAATTGCTATCCTCCTTGCCCGGATCATTACTTAACCTTTTTTTAGCTTAAAAACACTGAAAAATGGTGTTCTAAGAACAGATAATATCGATTTTAATTTTTCGTGGATGCCAAATTGGATAAGGTGATGTATGATTTTATTATGTTAAGCGGATGAAAAAAATCACTTGGTGCTTTGTGAGTCTTGAGAACGATCACAATTGTGGTGGGCTGGCCCCAACCCAAATTCTAAATTTTCGAAATTTATGAGTATTCCATATCACGATTCCAAACATCCATTTCTGCGACGAACAGACACAGAGGAAATTTCAAGTTTTGACCCAAAAGGAAAGTTTAATTTCTTTGAAATTATCCCAGATAGTTCAAACACAAAAACAAAATTTTATAGAGGTTAATCTCTTGGAAAATATTAAATATAAGATGGCTCCTTCCTACAACAGTCTTCTTTTTTGAATCAATACGCATTTTAACCATTTTTGGATTCACTGTACATAAAAGACACTTCAAATTTCGAGTCAAAAGCTAAGATTAACCAGTAAAGAAATTTCCAACATGTCCCCATTACAGCATCGAACTCTTCTTAATTTATTTGAGCTCCTAATTCGAGTGACTTTGATAACATTTTGAAATATCTTCAAACGACGTTTTTTTTTTGAGATGCAACTTCAGCGCGACAGAAATTGCATCGAATTTCGCGAAAAAGGTAAAATTAAATGAGCCTTGAAAAGGACTATTTCAAAAATGGTAAAAAAAAAAGAAAAAACGCAGAAAGAAAAAACACGCGAACAGCGATAACGTGAATCTGAACGGATTGATAGTGCACACTGTGTAACGAATAAAAAGAAAGAATGGGAAAATGGAACACAAAAGGGAAACACCGAAACGGAACGCAAATGGAACGTATATGGGAACGCAGATAGACGACACAACGTAACTCAAACTCAGAGGGAACGTGTACATGACCTAAAATGGAAACGCAGGTTTGGAACACAAAATAGAAGTGAAACGCAAACGGAACGCATACGTGAACTGAAGTAGAGACGCAAGCGGGAATACATGCATAAGGAAACGTAAAGGGAACGTTTACGTGAACTGAAATGAAAGCGATGATAGAAAAGGAAACAAAACGCGTACGTTAAATAAAACCGAAAGGCGGATAGCGAGAAAATCTTATTTGCAATAGAAATTTCAGACTGTCCATTTTCCAGAAAGTGCTTTCTCCAGTACTGGGCAAAACACGGAACGTCTTACTCCATAGATTCTTTCATCGCCTCGGCTCAGACTCATAGATCCCTTCAAAAATGGCGGGCACAATTACTATTCCTTTGTGTAAATGCAAAAAAAAACTTCCAAGCCTCGTTTTTGAGAGAAAATCCTTTTATCGTTACTCATGTTGACGAGGCTAGGAAGGCTGATTTACATGCATCTAAAAGAAGAACTATTAGACCCACCATTTATGAAAAAAGTGTATAACCACCAAAGAAATGACAGACACCGTATTGTACTCTCAACCAAGTGTGTTTATTTCCTCTGTAATTTACTTTAGTACATTCATATGAAAGTTTACTTAATTGGCTTACAAACCGTGTACAAAATATATTTCCGCGGCCACTACATATTCCTCCATTTAAATTCTATCTTAGTTTTCACATAGCTTCCTTCTTAAGAAGTGCATCATCACGGCTTATCAAAACAATAATAAGAAACTAAAACTAAACGTTAATAATAATAAAAAAGCAGAAAAAAAAAAGAAACTCCACCAAGAGGATAACCAGGTATTCAACTCGGCCTACAAGTACATTATAATAACATTATTTATTTTCTCTACAATCCAAGAAACGTATTACATTGAGTGATCAGTAACAATTTCTGAATTAATTATCACTTGGCTGAAGGCAAAAATAGTAAACTCAGGAGTTTACCCAACAAACCAGCAAACAATTCTGCACACCGGTCGCCGTATGAAGTGACAAACCCGTTTCGTTTTTCCCCAACTATCTGGCACCCAATTGCAAACTTTGTTAGATGCCCAATCACACACGGTGTTACAAACACGTCTCAGGACATATCTCAGAAGCTGCCGTTTCTTACCTAAGAAAAGAAAAAAGGCACAGCACAATAAGTGTATATTAAGGGCCGAAGATCAGGGCTCTAACTGCGTGTGGCTGAGTCAGTTTTAAAACCTCTCAAACTAAAATGGATATGATTCGAAATGATTTACGTTTTACAGACTATCGTAAAGCCGACTTATAAGGTATTTTTATACGGGCATGCACCTTGTTCTCATTTGACTGAGCAAACACTGTAAACTGAGTCGTAACAGAGGCCAAAACTTCTTATTCAGCTTTATTCATTATCACTTACGTGCTTTCAGAACATTTTCCGGGTTAGCTGTTTGTCTTGTTTCGCTAAAGTCAATGGGCTTTACGTTTCCTTTCACCATTGCGTAGACTGGCAGCTTGGCACACAAACGTGCCATTTCATCACTTAGCTCTGATCGGTCTTCAAGAGTTCCTACAACTGTTAGGTTTATGTCAGTTCGAGCCTTAGGCAACCCTCCATCTGTTTTAGGAGGTACCTAACCATAAAAGAAAGACAAGTATTAAAGCGATAGGAATCCAGACACCAGGGCAGCCGCGGTGGAAAACTAATGGTTTTTGTGAGCTAGCATTTTATCTCGTAAACTTCCTGACGATCCAATTGGCTTGAATCACAAAGATGATTTAACTGTATATGGCACTTACCCATGCTAAACCTTTCATTAAGTCGGCGGGCTTGAGAGCGTCATCAGTTGAATGGGTCAAATAGCAAGCCTTTGCTGCTGGCAAGCGTATCATTGTCATTTTCTGTAGGAAAAATGGAATTAAGTATAATGATTAAATCGATATCGACAACCAGCACCCCTTGGAGGTCAGTAGGCTGATTTAGCAACAGAACGGGAACGTCAGTTGACGACGGCGCGCGCAAACCAAACAACTGGCTTGACCATCTTGACCAATGGCAGAGCAACAAATTGAGCACCGGAAGTCGTGTTTAGTCCTTTCCGCGCGCTTTCCCGTCGTCAACTGACGTTCCCGTCCTGTTGCTAAATCAGCCTAATATTTTCACTGTCACGCGAACTTTCACGTCATTTTAGTAAATAGAGTATTTTGGCCGTTTTGTTGAGTCAATGTGAGTCGTCGCATGGACTAATTCCAAGCCTCTGAGGCGGTTAGCGTTGGCTGTGCGTGGAAATCACAGTCTTGTCAAAAACATTTTAAAGAAATTCTGCCAGCAAAGTAACGTTTTTACGTTAAAGTGCCATATCGTTTATTGATCAAAAAAGAAAAAAAGAAATATTTTTGGTGAATAGTTTCGGCAAGGATTCATACCGTTCAAAGGTTTTAAATACTGATTTATATTGACGCTTCAGTAAACTTTACTGACTGGATCTGTTGAGATTTAATTTAAGATGCATGACTTATCGTGTTCAATAAACTAGTTAAAACTTTTGTTTAAAAAATATCTCTTACGCAGAACTTTAGCCCGACCCCTATGGAAGGGTCATTAAGTAAATCTGCTGGGCTTCTATGCATTAATTAACCTATTCAGATAGCATTTATTTGGAAATGATTAGAAACGTCTCTTCAATGGGGCTGCTAACTCTCAGTCTCCTTTTTTTTTAAAAATCAGGTCAATAACAACGTTTGGTTTTTGGCTTGTTTCCGTTTGCTTCTGCTTCGTATTTTTTGTTTGTTTGTTTGTTTCTTTATTTTTGGCGTTCGCTTGTTTGCTTTTTTTAATCTTAAGTATGAAAGTCTTAAAAAAGACCGAAGAAATCTTGAAAATTGAAAAGAAGACGGTGATGGCACAAACGTCAACGGCAATTATATTGCAAAGCTGAATTTTAAGATCACTTTGAATCATGTCCTTTTATAATTCATAATGATTCGAAATGGGTTACAAACTCCCAAGGACGCTACTCCCTATCGCTTATGTGCACGGCCTTTTCCTCCAAGATTGAAAATAAAACTCTATTACCTTTTTAAAGTCGTAGATTATATCTCCTGCTTCTTCGTCAGGCGAAGTCTTTGGTACGTGAAACGTTTCTGTTTCCTTTTCAGCGTCAATTTCGATTTTTTCGTCATATTCTTCCCCGCTGCCGCTCGACAACTTCAGTGAGTATTTTATCACGGAATCCTGTAAAAAGTGGTGAGTAAGTTATATAAATAAATACATTGTCATAAAAAAATAAAACATTATTTAGTTGAAAGGGCAGTATTTAGTGCAATTAAACTTTAACCTGCAAATCCGGCGGCTGGTTGTAATAGTTGGGGCAATTAAAATCGACACCAAGAAAACGGGTCAGTAATGAAGCTCTTTATACATTTACGGCTCCCGACATTTATTGTTATTATACCACTACATGAGAAATTTCTGCAGTTTGATTGGCTTAGAGCAGTGGTATTTCAGCTTAATTTGAAATACCTACATGTGAAAATTACAAACCTTTTGCGGGTAGTAGTATAAACAAATAATAGCATGATTTGTACGTGATATTTGGCATAAATACCTCTCATGATATTTCAAAATTGTCTCAAATTTCACTCGCCTAACGGCTTGTGAAATTACGTTTAACAATTTGGAAATATCACTTGTGGTATTTATGCCAAATATCACTACAAATCATACTATTACCTATACAAATGATTGACTAGATTGATATTTCAAAACGGAGGATGAAGATTTCAACCCGCTAATAATAGCCTACATTACAAAAGTGTCAAAGCGTAACATTATTAACACAACTAGGAAGTAACGATTTCTCATACTAGTCATTAGACTGCGAGCAGTCCCTCTTCAGTCAGTCGAGTCTAAGCTCGGTAGGACTGGAGAGAGCGAATTGGCCGAGAGGGAAACAGTCTAACTAGTCTTACCTTTTTCTGCTCGAGAAAGGAGGTGGACCGGACAGTGACAGCCAGCAGAGCAAGACAAGATAAGAACAACTTGATTTTCTGATGAAAAAATAAAAGCGATTTAGTACAGTTGAATTATAACCGTGAGTTCTTTCCGTGTTTTCCTTTCTTGGTCTTTCTGTGCAAATTTGTGTTTGAATTCGACCTTTGACATATTAACAAGACTCTTTATCAATTTTATTAACGAGCGCTGGCTAAGAACATGTATGCTCAGTCTGTATGCTTCCCTTCATCCCTTTATATTACTTTTGAAACCTTACGAGATAGAAAAATTAGTATTCTAACCTGACTTCACTGAAGTGTAGACGATAAGGGATAGTGTTGATTGATAGAATTTGAAGGAACGAAATTAAAGAAAGTGTTACCGTATTGCACAGTGTGTGCAAAGCTCAATTCTCAATTCCTGGCTACCTTCATGGCGTGAAAGCCCTGACATTAAAAAGAAATGTCATTTGCTGCTACAGGTTGTTGCTACATACGAAGCTTTCGACAGCCAAAATAACAGATATCATTTTTCAGGGGCACCCAACGAGAATATAGTTCAAAACCACTTAAACATAGAATTGTTTAACGTATTTTAGTATTTAAACGGTAGATATACGCATATTTTTGCCCCCTAAAAATTTTTCATCTGTTCGGATTTCCTAGCTGAAAGTCAAGTGATCCGAAAATTATAGGGATCAAAACTTACCTTTTCGAAAATTTTAGCCAGAAAAAAGGCCCCCGAAAATTCTAGGTGACCTTTTTAGGGTAAAAATTCGTTAGGCAATTATACCATTTTTTAGATGTCCGAAAATCCTAGGAGAGGCAGGCAAGCAAGAAATTTTACAACAAATGTTCCGAAAATTCTAGATCTCAAATCGTCTTCCGAACAGATATTTTTCCGAAAATTGTCGCTGGGTGCCCCCTGATTTTTCAAAACCATACAAGACAGGATCTTCTTCGTAATGAAACCGTTTAAATGGGCAAATTCACGTGAAGTTAAATTCTCTTACCATCTCGGTAAAGTTTTTTCTGGACTAAGGGTCTCTCTCTAGCTCTCTCGTCTTCACTGATTTCCCAAAATGGAACTGTATAAAACAGTGAAAACAACTGCTCCTTTTATATCATCTGAGGAGTGATGTGCCCAGACTGGATATCACAACAAATAAGGGAAGATGAACTTGGTTTCAGCGCTGTGGAATGTTTCTACTGCTGAAGCAGGCTTAGATATCCTTGGAAAGAGGGGGACGTTGGAGGATATCCAATACCGCAATACCGTAAGAAATATTGGCAAATACCGAAATACTGCGTCAAAAATCGACCAAATACCGATACCACAGTTATGATCGGTCACGTTTACTTAAAGCTGTGTTCCATCACGCGTGTTTGTTTACCTCAACCATGTATGCACCAGAACAACCTCAGACATTGCGAGAAAACGTGAGAAGACCTTGGGCGCGACGCATTCAACCAAAATTTCCGGAAAGTTCGGTCTAAAACTCAATGAATCGGTTTGGTCCAACCGGAAAAGTTTCGAAAAAACTGGTCCACCTTTTGAGGTAGACCACTTTTTCCGGTCGGACCGGTCGAAATTTTGGTTGAATGGATCGCGCCCCTTGATCGGTACTACGATCGAAAACAGGGGCACCCGACGAGAATATAGGTCAAAACCACTTAAACATAGCATTGTTGAACGTATTTCAGAATTTAAACGGTAGACATAGCCATATTTTTATCCCCTAAAAATTTTTCATCTGTTCGGATTTCCTAGCTGAAAGTCTAGTGATCCGAAAATTATAGGTATCAAAACTTACCTTTTCGAAAATTTCAGCCAGAAAAAAGGCTCCCGAAAATTCTAGGTGACTTTTTTAGGGTAAAAATCCGTTATAAAAATGGGCAATTATACCATTTTTGGGGGGTTCGAAAATCCTAGGAGAGGCGGGCAAGTCTTAGGAATATTAACTTTAATTAACTTTAATTAACCTGTTTAGCTTACTGTGGTTCGTGCTGCACATTGTATTGACCTGTATTAGACAGGAGAGGGCAAATAAATGGTACTGCAATACCGTGAAGGATCTCCTTTTACAGAATACCGTCCCGGGAATACCGTTAACCAAAGGGTGAAAAACCGCATACCGCAGCTGATACCGTAGGGCTAGATGATACCACAATACCGCACATCAAAATCGAAAATACCGCTTGAAAAAAAGCTCAGTACCGTAAACCCCCATGTACATGTATGCATGTCCCCCTCTGGAAAGGAAATCTTTTCAGAATTTATTTATAATTTATTTATAATTTTGCATTTGCTGGTTAACGAGGGGAGTATTAGATCTAATTTCAAAATTTAATCGGACTAATCGAAAACTAAGACCCTCGAAAACTACGACCTAAGACCTAAAACCCGTCTTAGTTTTCGAGATTACACAAACTAAGACCCCCTAAAATCGATTTTGTCGGAATATGAAGTCAAATTGTAACCGAAATAGGTCTCTTCTGTCCGATTCTTTCCACCGAGTTTTTGGTCAAATTTAACGGTAAATTTAGGGGTCTTAGTTTTCGTAATTTCGAAAAGAAAGACCCCTCTTAGTTTTCGTTGTTACGAAAACTAAGACCCCCACAAAACCAATCCGTAAAATATACATGAAGTCGAATAACGACCGTTCAAAGACTATAATTCGTAAAACAACCAAAACCTATCATCCGCGTGCTGACAACCCGCTTCTTCTAATAATTTACAGGTAGCCCAAGCTCGAAATATGAGCATCGGCGAACATCGGCATTATTGCGTAACATTCAACATTCGAAATATAAGGATTTGTATGGGAAAAAAACCTGAGAAAATGAAAGGATTTCAATAAAAAACAGCTTACCTTACTTAAAATGTGTGTGACGTCTCTCCTGTGTGGTCCACGGGCCCATTTATGGCCGGGCTACCTGTGATATTTTGCAGAAAAAAGAGGATGAAAGCCATTAGCTGTGTATAATTGTACACTGAAAATATGCCTTACCCCACTGATTGGTCTATAATTTTAGTTGTTTTGCTTAAAAATCGTAAAATTAGCTTTCCACTGGAGATGGAATTTTGCCTTCATTGCCGGCTCCCTGTGGCGTTACCAGAATATATCTTAATCGCTTCCGATCGTCAAGTGGTCAATGGCGTTATTGGTTAAACATCACACAAAACTACAGGTTTTTTTCCTTTTCTGGCCAGGCGATAGCCAGAAAAATGCTTTCTTAAAAAGGGTGAAAAAAAGAGTATATGCTATATTACGTTTTTAATGAGTTTTTCTTTTATCTTTGCCACCCGGAGATCACCGGAAACCAGGTGAAAAGTTACAATGTCAGGGTAGTTGATAGCCTCCCCGCAGACGTCCTTTGGGGTTCGTTTGTCACGCATTCATTTCTCCCTCACCGTGGGGGAGAAATGAATGCGTGACAAACGAACCCCAAAAGGACGTCTGCGGGGAGGCTAGGTAGTTGAGGGGTAGGATGGGGGCAAGGAGAAATAGACTGTGAGGGATACTGGGTAAAATCACTTATTAAATATAAAATGAATGAATGAACAAATTTCCTGTACTAGCAAGGCATCATCTCGAAAAATTTGCATTTTTTTCCAGAAAAAATGAAATAGACAAACAACAAGAGCCATAATGGCTCTTGACAACCAATCAAAACAAAACGCTCCTTGAGTGATTTTTAGGTAACGCAATCACTGTCGCTGAGACACGAAGGTAAAAATCCATATCCAGCACGTTGAAAGCCAATTTTACGATTTTTATGGATAAACAACAAAAATTGTTGACCAATCGGCGAGATAAGGCATATTTTCAGTGTACAATTATACACAGGTAGTCTATGGCTTTTCATCCTCTTTTTTAAGCCTCAATACTGATATCTCCGCAAATTTTTAGAAGAAGCGGGTTGTCAGCACGCGGATGATAGGTTTTTGGTTGTTTTACGGATTATAGTTTTTGAACGGTCATAATTTGACTTCATATATATTCTGCGGATTGGTTTTGTGAACGAAAACTAAGAGGGGTCTTTGTTTTCGAAATTACGAAAACTAAGACCCCTAAATTTACCGTTAAATTTGACCAAAAACTCGGTGGAAACAATCGGACAGAAGACAATTTGACTGATTAGACCCACTTCGGTTACAATTTGACTTCATACAAGTTCATATTTCGACAGATTCGATTTTAGGGGGTCTTAGTTTTCGTAATCTCGAAAACTAAGACGGGT